GAACCCAGGTCCACTCAGGACCGGTCTGGAGTCTGAGACCTTCAAAGTCCCTGAGGACCGTCCTCAGAACAGTTCTGGACCAAAGTGACCCAGAGACCCCCCTGAAACAGTCCTCCAGAGTCCACAGATGGTCCTGGTTTAGGTCACCTTACCTGAGACGGACCGGTCCGCCAGGGTCCCAAAGTGCTCCTTTAGGAAAGCTTCCTGGTCTGGGGTCTGGGGGACGGACTGAGACCCTCCTCCTGCTCCTGCTCCTCCTCCCTCGTCCTCCTCGTCCTCCTCCAGGTCTGAGGAGTTCCCGTCCACGCTGAGACGCTCCGAGTCTGAGGAGACAAGACCGAAGGACCAGAGATCAGGAACCTGGTCCAGGATTTCAGCCAACCGTACATGATCGTGACGAACCGCCATGCCAAATCAACGCCACCGCCGCCGCCGCCGCCGCCGCCGCCGCCGCCGCCGCCGCCGCCGCCGCCGCCGCCGCCGCCGCCGCCGCCATGGTGTTTCAAATGTCAATAATATTGTCTGAATGGAGAGTGAGGCACTGATCTGAGAGGGACTTTATTTTGAAACATCAACAGGAAACAGAACCGACAGGGTCCAAAACTCCTGAGACTCTCTCTCTCTCTCTCTCTCTCTCCCTCTCTCTCTCTCTCTCTCCCTCTCTCCCTCTCTCTCTCTCTCTCTCTCTCTCTCTCTCTCCCTCTCTCTCTCTCTCTCTCTCTCTCTCTCTCTCTCTCTCTCTCTCTCTCTCTCTCTCTCTCTCTCTCTCTCTCTCTCTCTCTCTCTCTCTCTCTCTCTCTCTCTCTCTCTCTCTCTCTCTCTCTCTCTCTCTCTCTCTCTGTCTCTCTGTCTCTCTCTCTCTCTCTCTCTCTCTCTCTCTCTCTCTCTCTCTCTCTCTCTCTCTCTCTCTCTCTCTCCCCCCCGTCTCACCCCCTCCTGCAGGTCCAGCTGGACTCGACAGTCTCGAGTTGAACCCCAGGGAACAGCCGCTGTCAGGACTCGGTTTGTCGTGACGTCGACCTGCGCCGTCTGGACACGCCTCCTTCACCTGAAACTCACTGACAGGAAGAGGCGTGGTTAAGGGGGTTCAGGAGGCGGGGTTTACACAAACGAAGCTGCTGATGAAGGACGAGGTCAAACCTTCCTGCCAGGCTCACTCTGTCCTCCCATTGGTCAGGATACAGCACTGGATCCTCCCTGTCTGGACTCTGATTGGACAGGTGAATGAATTCAGGCCTCTGATTGGTCTCTGCCTCGTCATCCTTCACCTGCACAGACACACCCAACGTCATGATCTCGGCCAATGAGAGAAGAGAGATTCAGTCTCTTTTTTACAAACTACAGCTGATCTACTGAAGACCCTTGACCTTGACCTTAGATTGACCTTGACCTTACCTCGACCTTACATCGACCTCGACCTTACCTCGACCTTACATCGACCTCGACCTTACATCGACCTCGACCTTACCTCGACCTCGACCTTACCTCGACCTTGACCTTACCTTGACCTTTCTTTACTTCAACCTTACCACAACCTTTCCTAACCTTAACCACCTGATCTGACTGGTGACCTCAGTTCATCTTCATTGTGACCTGATCTGTCATGTGACCTCAGTTTGAAGTCAAACACTTAAGCCCCGCCCTCATGCACAGGTGAGCACTTACCCAGGCGGAGGTGACCTGCAGACTGATGGTGCTCCCTCGCTCCTGATTGGTCCTGTGAAGCCCCCCCTCTCCTTGTTGGTCCCTCCTTCCTGAGGTGGTGCTGAGATGACGGGGGCGGTTCTGTCCCTGTGTGTGGGGGTCAGAGGTCAGAGGTCAGTAAACTGTCGGCCTTTCAAAGAGGAGCAGAGCGTTAAAAACCCACAGGATCCATGTTCTGTGGGAGCAGGATCCTGGTCGAACCCTCCAGATCCAGGATCTACACGCTCCTGTACCCCCCCCCCCCCCCCCCTCCTGTGGTTCTGTTCATCTGGGTCTGATTCTGGGTTTGATTCTGGGTCTGATTCTGGGTTTGATTCTGGGTCTGATTCTGGGTTTGATTCTGGGTCTGATTCTGGGTTTGATTCTGGGTTTGATTCTGGGTTTGATTCTGGACTGAATGTTCCTCTGTGACTTTCAGAGTGAACGGGTTAAAGTTCTGTTCTGGTCCACATGGATCAGAACCAGGAAGTGTTTCTTCTCTACAGATAAACAGTCGATGGTCTTTATAATCAGGCGAGGAGACGTGTCTGTGATGGGGTTGCGGTCACTACATCACTTCCTGTGTAACAGGACGACTACAGGGCGCTGACAGAACATGCATCCTGTGGGTTAGAGGTGTTGTTACCATCACCTCCTCCTGATGCTCCTCCTGCTGCTCCTCCTCTTGTTTGTCTTTACTGAAGGAGTCCAGTAGTCTCAGGTCCAACATGGACTTCACCATCAGGACGCCATCTTCGCCGCCTGACCTCCTGGACCATCGACGCCGAGGCAGCCGACCCCCAAAAATGTCCTGAGGACACCAAGGATGTGAAAGCACTCAGAGAAAACCACAGGTACAGGGAACACACCTGTTTGAACAGGTGACACACCTGTTTGAACAGGTGACACACCTGTTTGAACAGGTAACACACCTGTTTGAACAGGTGACACGTGTTCATTGAATGTTAAAAAGGAGTAACGTACCTGTAATAAACATGTTTTTAACTGTTAACAACCTGTAATAAAGCCATAATAAATGTGTGATAAAGCCAGGATGAACTAGTCACCGGCCTGTTATAAATATGTAATAAACCTTTTATTGCCCTTTATGTAATAAACCTGTTTTAAACCTTTCATTAATACATTATCAACTTGTAATAAACCTGTTATAAACATGTTTTAAACATGTTATTAAGATGTAATAAACCTGCTATTAACATGTTGTAAACCTGTTATGTTATTCACCTGTAATAAACTTGTTTTAACCTTTTTTAAACCTTTCATAAATACATTATTAACTTGTAATAAACCTGTTTTATAAAAATGTTATTAACCTGTTATTAACATGTTATACACAGGTAATAAAGCCATAATAAATGTGTGAAAAAGCCAGGATGAACTAGTCATAGGCCTGTTATAAATATGTAGTAAACCCATAACAAATCATTAAAATATGTAATAAACCTGTTTTATAAAAATGTTATTAACCTGTTATGAACATGTTATAAGTCACTTATAAACCTGTTAGAACTGAATGTTAACAGACACTATCTGGTCTGTCGTGTTTTTCACATGCAGAAACTTTGGATTAATTTAACTTTAATCTAATTTAACAAAATAAATTCTTATAAATCTCCTCTGAACACATTGTCTCTTTCTCATTTGTCATCGTCAGGTTCGATCATAAAGTACAAACTGAACGTCAATATTAAGTATTATTATTGAAAAAGACATTCAAACTGACCGTCCCGCTGTCGTCCTCATGGACAAACTCTTCACACACATCTGTGAGAAACAAGAGCGTTTGGACAATCAGCTGATAGATCTACACACACACACACACACACACACACACACACACACACACACACACTCTTCAGAAAATGATAGTGTTGGTCTGGCAGTCGTGGGTTTGGAGACTTTTGTTGACCCTGAACCAACGTTGATCAGTTTGAACAGGAAGTTTGTTTGTTTTATTTTGAAAGGATTAAAATTTAAATTCTTGGTTTTCTGTTTTTATTCTCGATTGACTCGACGGAGAATCAGGATGTTGATGCGATGGGACTCTGACTCCGCCCACAGGCTGTTATAGCGTGTTAGTTTAAGTGTACAGTGTAACCACGGTAACATACCCGTCTCCTCCTTCAGGCTTCCTGCTGTGACCATATATGGGCAACTGAGCTCCTCCTCCTCCTCCTTCTCACTGTCAGATGACAACGTGACGCCACGAGGAGACGGCTCTCCTCTGTACACGCACACACACACACACACACACACACACACACACACACACACACACACACAGTTTCTTGTTTTTAGAGTCATCTCTTGTTCTGAATTCTTCGTCTCTCAGCAGGTGAACTTACCTGAACCTCATGTCTCTCTGCTCAGGTGCATTCTGGGAATTCAGAGTGGTAGCAGCAGGTCCAAGATCAGCGAGTCGCTGCCTCATCCTGATGGTCAACTCAGGAGGGAGACGCCACACAAAGATACAGCTACACACACACACACACACACACACATTAGTTACAAACAGGAACACGTGTGGCGTTTGTCAGGTGGACTCTGAGGTCGGCGTACCTGTCTCCTGAAACCGTGATCAGGTGTCTGCAGTCGTTACTGAACTTCAGGCCTGTTACGATCTCTGAAACACACACACACACACACACACACACACACACACACACACACACACACACACAGAGGTTAAAACATAGAACCAGGATCCAGAACCACCAGAGACTTTACTGGACCTGATCCCATTTAAGGTGGACTGAGGGAGGAGGAGGAGAACCCTCCTGAGGTCTAATGGATCCAAATCAGACTTCCTTTTGGAAATCCCGGACTCTTAAAGGACTAGAGGGTCCTCCTCAGCTCCCAGTCCAAGTCCAGCATCCCTGATGGTCTGAGGATCGTGAGAGTCCAGGTCTTCTGTGAAGGTTCCAACAACATCTCCAGGTTTAGGACCAAAATCTGGGTCCATCCAGACCAGGACTTCTTCAGGGAAGACCTTCATATGATCCAAAATCAGATTCTGACAACAGCAGGTTCTGGTCCACTAAGGTCTGCCGGGGACACTCGATGAGGACCATAAACCTGGAACAACTCAAACCGGTGAGAGCGCCCCCTACCTGTCGATGGAGTTACGCTGCAGTAAACTGTGCTAACACTGACCCACACTGTTATTGTGAAGAGGCGGAGCTTCATCAGCTGTCAATCACTGACCTGTTCTAACGTCATTAACCTTCAGATTCAGAGATTGGACAGGAAAGGGTCAAAGGTCACCTGAGTGTCCAAAGATGGTGGCCACACACTCTCCAGAGTAAAAGTCAAAGATGCTGATGTTTTTATCTGAACAGGAGGTGGCGATGTAGAGTCCTGATGGGTCAATCTGGACCTGAGGAGAAAAAGAAGAAGAAGAAGAAGGTGAGCAGTGATTGGACGAGCTGGAGGTCAAAACAAAAACCATCAGAATGAGAAAAAAACACCTTAATGAGCGTCCCGTCCTCGCCCTGAGCGCCTTTGAAGACCCGCTTCTGTTTCCCATTACTGATGTTGAACACCCTGAGGGAAGACATCTACGTTATCATCTTCATCTACGTTATCTTCATCATCATCATCATCTATGTTATCATCTTCATCTTCATCATCGTGATCATCATCATCATCATCAACATCATCTACATTATCATCATCATCTACTGTATCATCATCATCTTCATCAACATCTACATTATCTTCATCATCATCATCATCTTCATCATCTACATTATCATCATCATCTACTGTATCATCATCATCATCTTCATCACCATTATCATCATCATCATCATCACCATCATCAACATCATTATCATCATCACCATCATCATCTTCATCATCATCTACATCATCATCATCATCATCATCATCTTCATCACCATTACCATCATCATCATCATCACCATCATCTACATCATCATCATCATTATTACCAACATAACCATCATCTTCATCTTCATCATCATTATCATCATCATCATCTTCATCATCATCATCATCTTCATCTACGTTATCATCTTCATCATCTTCATCATCATCATTACCATCATCATCATTACCATCATCATCATTACCATCATCACCATCATTATTACCACCATCACCATCTACATCATCAACATCATCATCATCTTCATCATCATCATCATCATTATCATCATCTACATTATTATCTTCATCATCATCATCATCATCATCATCATCATCATCATCATTATCTTTAAAATCATCATCATCATCATCATCTTCATCTTCATCTTCCTCACCTGATGCTGCGGTCCTGACAGCCCACTGCCGTGTACTTCCTGTTTGGCTCCACGTCCATGTCATACAGCGTTGTTTTCCGAACCACGTGATGAGTTCGCGTGAACTCCAGCCCCTCCTCCCCCTGACACTGGTGTGTGTGTATGTGTGTGTGTGTATGTGTGTGTGTGTGTGGGGGGGGGGGGGCAGGAAGTGAGGTAGACAAGGGTTTTGTGTCAGATTTACAGGAAATGATTCTTTCACAATAAAACGTCTCATTAAACACATCTGTCTGGAAGTGACATCACTCTTACCTGTTGAGCCGTACGGAAGTAGACGCTCTTATCAGCTCCACAGCTGATCAACCTCACTTTCCCCTGATTGGCTGACAGACAGGAAGGACACAATGACGTCACATGATAACCACTCAAAACGGAGCGCCGTCAGAGATCACGTGACTTACCAGCAAATCGTACAGCAGTGATGGAGGACGAGTGTTCATCCAGAGTCTGGACCAGGCTGTAGTCCCGGCCTGAGTCCAGAACATGGATCAGTCGATCCCGACCGGCTGTGGCTAACAACTGGAGACCTGAAAGTCAAAAGGGGTAAACTCACCTGTTAATCTCAGATTAAGGACTAAACTCACCTGTTAATCTCAGATTAAGGATTAAACTCACCTGTTAATCTCAGATTAAGGATTAAACTCACCTGTTAATCTCAGATTAAGGACTAAACTCACCGGTTAATCTCAGATTAAGGACTAAACTCACCTGTTAATCTCAGATTAAGGACTAAACTCACCGGTTAATCTCAGATAAAGGATTACGATCACCTGTTAATCTCAGATTAAGGACTAAACTCACCGGTTAATCTCAGATTAAGGACTAAACTCACCGGTTAATCTCAGATTAAGGACTAAACTCACCTGTTAATCTCAGATTAAGGATTAAACTCACCTGTTAATCTCAGATTAAGGACTAAACTCACCGGTTAATCTCAGATTAAGGACTAAACTCACCTGTTAATCTCAGATTAAGGACTAAACTCACCGGTTAATCTCAGATTAAGGACTAAACTCACCTGTTAATCTCAGATTAAGGATTAAACTCACCTGTTAATCTCAGATTAAGGACTAAACTCACCCGTTTACATTAGATTAATTTATCTGTTCATATCAGATTACTGTCCTTACATCCTGTGTCTCTTTCACAATAAAAGCCTGATTTCCAAGGTGTCAGCGGTCTCACCTGTGTCAGGTCTGGAAAACTCCAAACAGAGGATCTCTGAGTCATGAGCCTGAACGTTCAGGATCTCCTCCATGGTCTCCACCTCATGGATCCTAATATACAGGTGAGAAACCAGGTGAGAAACCAGGTGAGAAACAAGGTGAGAAACCAGAGACACATGTAAAATAATCAGCTTCCATTTATTGAACGTTTACTCCGGAGTTTTTTTCCTGCGATTATTTCAGACGTCAGTATTTTTTATCCTGTCAACACAAGCGTCACATCAGCGACGTTTTCCCGTCCTGCGATATTTCGGCATTTATTTCTTCGTTTCACGGTCGACTTTTCTAAAGTTTCTCAGACTGTGTGTCCACTTCTGACCAATCAGATTTCGTGTTGTTGTGACATCAGATTCACCGGTATTTCCAACATGGCCGACCGGCTGATTGTTTCCGTGTCGGAGAACAGAGTGATTTTTGATCAAAGACACAAACATTACAAAGATAACGACCTGAAGGACGACTTGTGGAGAGTCATAGCGTCGGATTTCTCCGATGACGATGGTTTGTGAGCTTTAACAGTTTGATAAACGTCTTTGTTTGAACTTTCATCTGTGCTAACGTAACTTTAGCTCTAAGCTAACCTGTTCAGATACAACAGACCATCTGTATTTTCACTGTAAACTCAGTCACAGCTCCATCAGGTCTCTGTTGTTCCCTCACGTTTATGGATTATAGTTTCATGTGTTTATCTGGTTCTGACCCGACTCAGTCCATCATGACAGACAGACATCTCAACACTAGAGTCTGATCAGAACTGAGAAACACTCAGTCTGCTGTTGGATCAGTCTAACACCTGAAGACCCGGACGCGTCTTTTTTACCCCTGAAAGTCCCAAAACCTCATCGGTCTTGACGTTTATCGTCAGGCGCGTCAAAATTCGCCTCTGAATATTTCGTAATTTCACGATCTATATTTGCGTCGGTCCCGGCGTGTGACGACCTGAACTTCCAGGTGACACACAGTAAACCTGATAACGACCTGACAACTCGTCACCTGTCCAGACTTGGACTCTCCTCCCACACCTGGATTCAAACCCCGCCCCCTCACCTGAGAACTCCCATACGGTCTCCAGAGGCCAGGTGTAGTCCATCAGGACTGACCCTCAGGGTCCTAATGCCCGTTCTGTTCTGGTCAGTCTGCTGACCCTCTGATGGCCCCGCCTTCTCTGTGTTGCCCCCGGAGACAGAGGGCGAACTCTCAGAGTCCAGCAGGTAGCTGACGTTATCGTCAACATAAATCACCTTCTGCAGGTCCTGAAAGGTCAAAGGTCAGATAAGGTCAGCTGATCTGGGCGGGGTTAAGTCAGAGTACAGGTGCCTCCTTTACCTGGCTGAGGATGTTCCTGTTGGGGGTGTGGAGGTTCCACACTCGGATGGTGTTGTCTGAGGAGCAGGACAGGAACGACCCCGCAAACAGATGCCCCGCCCCCCTTCTGTCTGGGTACACCTGTGAACACAGCAGAGGTGATGCTCACCTTGATCGATCGATTGATCGATGTGGTTATGATTGACCACAATAGAGGGGGCGGGGCCAAAACATTGAGGTCTGCCCACAATGTTTTGGTTTAACCCGAACCTGCAAAGCCTCCGAAGAGGTGGCCAATCAGAGGAGGGTGTGTGTGTGCGTGTGTGTGTGTGTGTGTGTGTGTGCGCGCTCTCTCACCTCCACGCTCCACACACAGGACGAGTGATAGAGGGCGGAGTAAAGTTTTCCCGCCCTGCGGGGGTCACGAAGGTCTCTGACGTCCCAAACATAAACACTGTGATCGTTGTACACACAAGACAGCCAACCACTGCTGGGGTCAAAGGTCAACGCCACCGTGTCAGGGTAACGAGCCTCTGGCCTCGTGGAGAACAGCTGACTGAGGGGAGGAGTCATCAAAGAAGGAGGAGCAGAGGAGGAGGAGCAACAGGAAACAAGAGTTTTAATACCTGTCTGTAGGTGTGTTTCCTGTCTGTAGGTCTGTTTCCTGTCTGTAGGTGTGTTTCCTGTCTGTAGGTCTGTTTCCTGTCTGTAGGTGTGTTTCCTGTCTGTAGGTCTGTTTCCTGTCTGTAGGTGTGTTTCCTGTCTGTAGGTCTGTTTCCTGTCTGTAGGTGTATGTTTCCTGTCTGTAGGTGTGTTTCCTGTCTGTAGGAGTGTTTCCTGTCTGTAGGTGTGATTCCTGTCTGTAGGTGTGTTTCCTGTCTGTAGGTCTGTTTCCTGTCTGTAGGTCTGTTTCCTGTCTGTAGGTGTGTTTCCTGTCTGTAGGTCTGTTTCCTGTCTGTAGGTGTATGTTTCCTGTCTGTAGGTGTGTTTCCTGTCTGTAGGAGTGTTTCCTGTCTGTAGGTGTCTGTTTCCTGTCTGTAGGTCTGTTTCCTGTCTGTAGGTGAATGTTTCCTGTCTGTAGGTCTGTTTCCTGTCTGTAGGTGTGTTTCCTGTCTGTAGGTGAATGTTTCCTGTCTGTAGGTGTCTGTTTCCTGTCTGTAGGTCTGTTTCCTGTCTGTAGGTCTGTTTCCTGTCTGTAGGTGAATGTTTCCTGTCTGTAGGTCTGTTTCCTGTCTGTAGGTGAATGTTTCCTGTCTGTAGGTCTGTTTCCTGTCTGTAGGTGTGTTTCCTGTCTGTAGGTGAATGTTTCCTGTCTGTAGGTGTCTGTTTCCTGTCTGTAGGTGTCTGTTTCCTGTCTGTAGGTCTGTTTCCTGTCTGTAGATGTGTTTCCTGTCTGTAGGTCTGTTTCCTGTCTGTAGGTGTGCTTCCTGTCTGTAGGTGAATGTTTCCTGTCTGTAGGTCTGTTTCCTGTCTGTAGGTGTGTTTCCTGTCTGTAGGTGAATGTTTCCTGTCTGTAGGTGTGTGTTTCCTGTCTGTAGGTGTCTGTTTCCTGTCTGTAGGTGTCTGTTTCCTGTCTTTAGGTCTGTTTCCTGTCTGTAGGTGTCTGTTTCCTGTCTGTAGGTGTCTGTTTCCTGTCTGTAGGTGTCAGTTTCCTGTCTGTAGGTGTGTTTCCTGTCTGTAGGTCTGTTTCCTGTCTGTAGGTGTCTGTTTCCTGTCTGTAGGTGTGTGTTTCCTGTCTGTAGGTCTGTTTCCTGTCTGTAGGTGTCTGTTTCCTGTCTGTAGGTGTGTGTTTCCTGTCTGTAGGTGTCTGTTTCCTGTCTGTAGGTGTCTGTTTCCTGTCTTTAGGTCTGTTTCCTGTCTGTAGGTGTCTGTTTCCTGTCTGTAGGTGTCTGTTTCCTGTCTGTAGGTCTGTTTCCTGTCTGTAGGTGTCTGTTTCCTGTCTGTAGGTGTGTTTCCTGTCTGTAGGTGTCTGTTTCCTGTCTGTAGGTGTGTTTACTGTCTGTAGGTGTGTTTCCTGTCTGTAGGTGTCTGTTTCCTGTCTGTAGGTGTCTGTTTCCTGTCTGTAGGTGTGTTTCCTGTCTGTAGGTCTGTTTCCTGTCTATAGGTGTCTGTTTCCTGTCTGTAGGTGTGTACCTGGCGTCCAGCATCCCGGAGATGTCGGCTCCCAGACTGTGTGGGCGGGGCAAAGTGCACAGGAAGTGAAGGCTGATTGGACTGAACGCTCTGATGACCCCGTCAGAACATCCGCAGAAGATCAGCTCCTCTGTGACGGACAGACAGGTGGCCTGACACACCTGAGGAGGGGGGAGGGGTTAGTCGGATCAGAACCATGTGGACTGAAGGTTCAGAGACATTCTTGATGATCTGTGGCGAAGGATTTTGACGGCGGCGTTTACGTTTTTGTTCAAGTTCAAATCAAATCTTTTTTACTTCAGAGAGCGGGTCGAGAGTTATCGTCTGTTCCTGGTTGGTCACATGACCTGAAGCCTGGCAGAGGTGACCCTGACCTCTGTGCCCTTTGACATCTATGACCTTTGACCTCCGTTTCTGTTGCTAAGCTACGACAAACAGTAAATCTGAGTGACTGATGTTGTATTCAGGGTTTTCAGTGAGGGTGTGAACAGTGGCATGTCCCTCAGCCAATCAGGCGATGTTTTGGTGATGAGTGACAGGTGAGCTGACTGATGGAGTGAGAGGAAGGCAGCGAGCGCCGAGGTCAGTCCGATCAGCCAATGAGGATTCAGACTGAGTCACTAAAATGAGGAAACCCTGATTCCACGAGTCGAACGCTGAACGTGTTCGCAGAAGCACGATCCGACGGTTTATGATCGTCCGTTTTAAATCACTCCAGGATTACAAAGATGGCGTCCGAACTCGACGTTCAAATCATCGTAATCTTCGAAAACGGAGGAAAACTGACGAAAACAGTTTGTCGGAAAATCACGAGATCTCACCGAACTCACTGATGATGTCATCACAAAAGCCTCTCCTTATTGGTTTATCTGAACTCCAACACAGTGTGAGGCAACGCCCACAGCAGGGCGGGGTCACGCCGCTCTGCTGGTTCACCACAATCGAGTCTAAGACGACCAATCAGACGTTAGAAGTCGTGATTGTTGGTTATGAGATTTTTTTAGATTTGTATTTTTGTGTCGATCTGTTTTAGAAAAAAGGAGGTCGTCTTCCTCATCGACTCTCTTCATCATCATCATCGTCATCGTCATCATCATCATCGTCATCATCTACAGTCCAGAATATCATTAAATCTCTGTTCTACTGGGACCAGAACCAGAACCAGAACCAGAACCAGGACTGGAAGGTCCTGATCTTCAGGGAGAATCACCTCATGAAAGTGGAGACCAGACAGAAACATGGCGTTGTGTGGTGTTGTGTGGCGTTGTGTGGCGTTGTGTGGCGTTGTGTGGTGTTGTGTGGTGTTGTGTGGCGTTGTGTGGCGTTGTGTGGCGTTGTGCAGCGTGATGCGGCGTGGCGTGGAATCAGGGTTATCATTAGAAATCTGAAAGTGCTTCCTGTTAACAAAATAAAGTTCCTGGTCTAAAATGGTTTCACTGAAACGTCACGGCTGAACGGACCGACCTCAGGTGAGACAAAGACTTACGGGGGCGGAGTCAACTCTCTACGCAGGAAGCAGGGGAGGAAGCAGAGGAACTTCACATTAAAAGCTTTGAAACAGAAACATTTTTAAAAACAGACCCTGTAGCCACGCCCACCAGTGATGTCACATCACAGCGGACGCTGGGTGATACTCTGATGGACACACACTGGGAGGACATGGTTGTCATGGAAACTCAACGTGACGCTCAGACTCACCCGAAGCTCCACCCACTTATCGAGGAGCCGCCGGTCATTGAACTCGCAGAGCAGACCGGACGACGTGATGCAGAAGGTGGAGGACGCCTGTCGGCCCCGCCCACACGCC